TAAATTCAAGACTATATGTGATTAAAGTAAGGTTGGATGCGAGAAGTGGTCATAATAACGTGAATGCACCTGGAGAAGAGAGGAATGCAGAGGAAGGAGAGGAATTTTGGAGAATGTTTAAGTGAATGTAATAGAGCTTTGAAACAAAGTGAGAGAGTAATTGTAGGGGCCTGAAATGCTAAAGTAGGATAAACTTTTAGAGAGGGGTGTGGAAGGTAAGTTTGGGGTGCCAGGTTTAAATGATATGGAGCCCCTTTGATTGAACTTGTATAGAAAGGGTTTAGTGTATAGTTGTTAAATACATACTTTTAAGAAAAAAGGATAAATAATATACACGATATGATGTAGGCGAAATGACAGTAGTTTGTTGGATTATGTATTGGTAGATAAAAAGACTGTTGATTAGACAATCAGGATGTACATGTTTATAGATGGGCCCAGATAAACAGATCACTTTCTAGTTGACTACACTGAGAGAAAAAGGTAGATGGGATTACAAGAAGAATAGAGCATCAGTGAAGAGAGAGGGTGAAGGTTTATAAACTAAAAGAGAGGGCAGTTAGGGTAAGATATAAACAGCTATTGGAGATAGATGGGCTAATGAGAGCATAGCAATGGGTCGAAGAGTATGGGTAGGTTAAAAATGTCATGTTAGAGTCTTACAGCAGAAGTTTGTGGTTTACAGGAGAAAGTGGGTGCCAGGAGGGAAGAGGAGTCGCTTGGTGGATGATGATGTTAATCGAGAGTATTAAAGGGGTGAAAAAGTTAGCATATGAGAAGTTTTTTTACAAAGTAGAAGTGATGCAAGGAGGGAAGATATATGGAGAAAAAGAGAGAGGTGTAAGAGAGTGGAGAGCAATGTAAAAAGAGAGCAAATGAAGAGATGTGTGAGATTTTATCAACAAATTTTGTTGAAAATAAGAAAATTTTTGCGTGAGATTAACAAGTAAGAAAGCCTAGGAGAACACAAATGGATTTGTCAGTTAAAAATAGGAGAGGAGATTTATGAAATGGAGAGTTTTGAGGTATAGGTGAAAATGGAAGAATATTTTTTGAGGAATTGTTACTTGTTATGAAGATCGGAAGCTGTGATTTCGTGTCATAAGGGCAAGGAGGAATAACATCTTGTAGGAGTGGAGGAAAAGCCAGTTGTGAGTGTGGGGAAGTATCGAGAGGCAGTAGGTTAAAATGAAAGGGGTAAGGCAGCCGGGATTGATGGATAAAGATAGAAATGTTAAAAAGCAGGTGGGGATATAAGTTTTGAGTGGTTGGTGCAATTGTTTAATAAATGTCAAGGAAGAGTTAAGGTACCTAGGGATTGGCAGAGAGCATCATAGTTCCTTTATATAAAGGCAAAGGGGATAAAAGAGAGTGCAAAAATTATAGGGGATAAGTCCTGTTGAGTGTACCTGTAAAGTGTATGGTAGAGTTATAATGAAAGAAATAAAGAGTAAGACGAGAATATGATAGCAGATGAACAAGGAGGCTTTATGAAAGGTAGGGGGTGTGTGGACCAGGTGTTTACAGTGAAACATATAAGGAAACAGTAATTTTAGATAAGGTCTAAAGAGGTCTTGATGGCATTTATGGATTTGGAAAAGGCGTATGACAGGGTGCGGATAGGGGGCAATGTGCAGATGATAGCAAGTGTATGGTGTAGAGGTAGGTTACTGAAAGGCAGTGAAGAGTTTTTTTTACAGAATAGTGACTCAAGTTAGAGTAAGTGAAAGGAAATTTTTTCCCAGTAAAAGTAGGCCTTAGACTAGGATGTGTGATCACCGTGTTGTTTAATATATTTATTATAGTGGGCTGTAAAGAGAATAAATTGCAGGTCATGGCAAAGGCGAGGCGTATTAAAAATAAAGAATCACAAAACACAAAGTGGGGAGGTTGTCACAGACTCTCATTTGCTGATGACACGTGTGCTCTTCGGAGATTCTGAAGAGAAATTGCAGAGATTGGTGGAGAAATTTGGTAGGGTGTGCAAAAGAAGACAATTAAGGTGAATACAGAAAGAGTAAGTTAGTGAGGATAACAAAAAAATGTAAGTGATGAAAGATTGAATATCAATGGAGGGGAGAAGCAGTATGGAGGAGGTGAACTATTCAGATATTTGGGAGTGTGGACGGTGACAGCGGATTGGTCTATTTAAAGATGCGGTTGAATCAAGAATTGATGTAGGACAAAGAGTATGAGTGGTGCACATTAGGAGTCTGTGGAGACAAAGAACTTTGTCCTTGGAAGGCCAAGAGGGGAATGTATGAGAAGAAAGTTTATTTACCAACGCTCTTATATTGGGTGTGAAGCGTGTGATGTAATGTTGCAAGCGAGGAGAAGGCTGGAGTCAGTGGAGATGTCAATGTCCTGCAGGGCAATGTTGGTGTGAATATAATGCAGAGAATTCGTAGTTTGAAGTTAGGAGGAGGTGCGGATACCAAAACTGTTGTCCAGAGGCTGAGGAAGGTTGTTGAGGTGGTTCGGACATGTAGAGAGAATGGAGCAAACAGAATGACCATCAATAGTGTATCATCTGTAGTGGAAGGAAGGGGCGGGTAGGGTCGGCCAAGGAAGGGATGAGGAGGGGGTAAAGGAGGTATTGTTGCGAGGGGCTTGACTCCATCATGCATGCTTGACGTGTTTGATAGAGTGAATGGAGGACGCAAATGGTATTTAACTACGTGAACCAGTGCTGTTGGAGTGTGAGCAAAGTAAACATTTAAGAAGGGATTCAGGGAAACCTGCAGGCCGATCTTGAGTCCTGGAGATAGGAAGTACAGTGCTGCACTCGAAAAGAGGGGTTGTTAAGGTTGCAGTTTAAAAAACTGTAGTGTAAAGCACCCTTCTGCAAGAACAGGATGAGTGAATGAGGTGAAAGTTTTTCATTTTCCGGGCCACCCTGGCCATGGTGGGAATCGGCCGGTGATGATAAAAAAAAAAAAAAAAAAAAAAAAAAAAAAAGTCTGTTTTTGATTGTACCTGGTATAGAGTATGGTAGAGTTATAATTGAAAGATTAAGATTAAACGGAGTATAGCTAGCAGATGAACAAGGAGCCTTTAGAAAGGTAGGGGGATTGTGGACCAGGAGTTACGTGAAACATATAAGTGAACAGTATTTAGATAAGGCTAAGATGGTCTTTGAGGCATTTATGGATTTGGAAAAGGCGTATGACAGGTGGATAGGGGCCATGTGGCAGATGTTGCACATGTATGGTGTAGAGGTAGTTACTGAAAGCATGAAGAGTTTTTTTACGATGATAGGTGAGGCTCAAAGTTTAGAGTAGTAGGAAAATAGGAAATTTTTTCCCCAGTAAAAGGTAGCCTTAGACAAGGATGTGTGAAGTCACCGTGGTTGTTGAATATATTTATAGATGGGGTTGTAAGAGAAGTAAAGCGGGGGTCCTTGGCAAGAGGCTGGAAGTAAAAGATAAAGAATCAAACACACAAAGTAGGAGTTTCACAGCGGCTCATTTGCTGATACACGTTCACTTGGGAGATTCTGAAGAAAGTTACAGAGATTGGTGGAAGAATTTTGTAGGTGTGCAAAAGAAGAAAATTAAAGGTGAATACAGGAAAGAGTAAGGTTACTGAGGATAACAAACAAGATAGGTATGAAAGATTGAATATCAGATTGGAGTGGAGGGAGAGAGTATGGAGGAGGTGACGTATTCAGATATTTGGAGTGACGTGTCAGCCGGATGGGTCTATGAAGATGATATGAATCATAGAATTTGGTTTGAGGAAAAAGATTGAGATGGTGCACTTAGAGTCTGTGGAGACAAAGAACTTGTCCCTTGGAGGCAAGCGGGAATGTAAATGAGAGTATAGTTTTACGCAACGCTCTTATATGGGTGTGAAGCGTGGTGATGAATGTTTGGCAGCAGAGAAGGCTGAGGCAGTGGAGATGTCATGTCCTGAGGGCAATGTTGGTGTGAATAAATGCAGAGAATTCGTAATTTGGGAAGTTTAGGAGGAAGGTGCGGGATTACCAAAATCTGTTGTCCAAGGCTGAGGAAGGGTGTTGAGGTGGTTCGACATGGTAGAGAGAATGGAGCGAAACTGAAATGACCTTCAGAGTGGTATCAGTCTGTAGAGGAAGGAAGGCGGTAGGGACGGCCTTAGGAAGGGATGGATGAGGGGTAAAGGAGGTTTTGTGTGCGAGGGGCTTGGACTCCAGCCAGGAATGCGTGAGCCGTGATTGGATAGGAAGTGAATGGAGACAAATGGTATTTTAATACTTGACGAGCAGTCGAGTGTGAGCAGAGTAACATTTAATGAAGGGATTCAGGGAAACCGGCAGGCCGAACTTAGATCCTGGAATGGGAAGTACAGTGCCTGCACTCTGAAGGAGGGGTGTTAATGTGCAGATTTATAAAAACTGTAGTGTAGAAAAGCACCCTTGCAGCAAAGACAGTGATGGAGTGAAATGATGGTAAAGTTTTTCTTTTTTTTCGGCCACCCTGCATTGTGGGAATCGGCCGTGTGTTAATAAAAAAAAAAAATTATATGTTGTCCACCAGCTGATGTCCTCGTTCACAGATCTGATGATGACCTTCATCTACAGAGAACTTACATGAAAACTTTTGAAATTTTTTTTGAATTCTCCATTAACTCCTCTGTTTCCTCACATAGTTTTTAGTTCATAGTGTCTATGTTGGATTCACTTTAGAAAATTCAAGTAGTTGTTAATAGCAAATTTTCTATATTTCTTTTCTGTATGAGTCTTCATGTGGAAGATAAGAATAACCGCCAAATTCAAACAGTGGAGAAAAATGCAGGAGTGGGGAGATTGGAGCTATAAAGCTCAAGTTACCATACTTTGTTATGGGGCTTTCAACCTAACTTAGATGCAGAAGGCAGTATCTGCACATTTCCTCAAACATGAATCATTAAGGAATCAATTCATTCACTAACCTGGGTTTATCTGTGGTAGCACTTATTCTTTTCTGCTGTGCAACACCTCATATATCATCACTGATAATTGTGTCCTCTGCCTTTTACAGACACATGTATGGAACAGAAATGGTAAGAAATGTGATTGCTATTCAGATGGTAGGCATTGAGGCTGAGCAGGATGTTGGAGTGCGAACTGCTGCAGTCAACTCTGTCATATTGCCATGACCAAAATTCGGTTGTTGTGCCAGATATACTTACAATGCTGGAAAAGGTAAATTATTCATTTCTATTTCTTTTAGACATACTTGTGGTTTCATTGTCTGTAAATATATGCTTTTTTTTTTTTTCAACAAGTCGGCCGTCTCCCACCGAGGCAGGGTGAACCAAAAAAGAAAGAAAATCCCCAAAAAGAAAATGCTTTCATCATCATTCAACACTTTCACCACACTCACACATAATCACTGTTTTTGCAGAGGTGCTCAGAATACAACAGTTTAGAAGCATATACGTATAAAGATACACAACATATCCCTCCATACTTGCCAATATCCCAAACTCACTCCTCTAGAAGTGCAGCATTTGACTTCCCCATTTCCCAGGACTCAAGTCCCGACTATATGAAATAACGTTTTCCCCGAATCCTTCACTAAATATTATCCTGCTCGCACTCCCAACAGATCCGTCAGGTCCCAAGAACTCAATCTCTCCATTCACGCCAATCTAACACTGCTCATGCACGCTTGCTGGAAGTCCAAGCCCCTTTTATACCCCCCTCTCTCCAACCCTTGTCGAGACACCCCTACCCTCGCCTTCCTTCCCCATATAGATTTAAGCTTTCATGTCATTCTAACGTTTGATTCCATTCTCTCTAAATGACCAAACCACCTCAACAACCCCCTTCTCTGCCTGCCCTCTGACGAACACTTTTATTAACTCCACACCTTTTCCCTAAATTTCCACACCGAATTTTCTGCATAATATTTACACCACACATTGCCCTCAGACCAGGACATCTCCACTGCCCCCAACAGTCTCCTCGCTGCTTGCAATTTACACCCAAGCTTCAACACTCCATAAATAAAGTGTTGGTACTACTTACTTTCATACATTCCCTTCATTGCTTTTCCTTTTGCCTGCCATTCCCATAGAGTAGATGTTTTTTGACTCCACCATATACCTCATGCACCACTCGCCTTTTTTCCCTCATCAATTCCTATGATTAACTTCATCCTTCATAAATCCATCCGCTAGACACATCATCTCCCAAGTATCTGAAAACATTCACTTCTTCCATAACTCCTCCTCCCCAATTTGATATCCAATTTTTCTCATCTAAATCATTTGTATACCCTCATCACCTTACTCTTTTCTATGTTCACTTTCAACTTTCTTCTACCTTTACCACATTCCCAAACTCATCCCACTATCCTTTGCAATTTTTCTTTATGAATCTCCCATATGCACAGTATCAACACAAAAAGTAACTGTGTTTTAATTCCATTTGAATTTGATTCCCATCAGTTAATCCCACCCCTCTCTCCAACACCCTAAGCATTTACTTCTTTTACAACCCCATCTAAAATAATATTAAACAAAACCATGGTGACATTACACATCCCTGTCTAAGACCTACTTTTACCGGGAAGTATTCTCCCTCTTTTTCTACACACCCTAACCTGAGCCTCACTATCCTCATAAAAGCTCTTTAAAAAGCTTTTAGTAATTTAAACCACCTATTCCATAAACTTGCAACATCTGCCACATTGCTCCTCTATCCACTCTATCATATGCCTTTTCTAAATCCAAAAATGCAATAAAAAACTTCCCTACCTTTATCTAAATACTGTTCACATATATGCTTCAATGTAAACACTTGATCTACACATCCCCTACCCACTCTGAACCTCCTTGCTCATCCGCAATTCTACATTCTTCTTACCTCTAATTCTTTCAATTATAACTCTACCGTATACTTTTCCGGGTAAAACTCAGTAAACTTATTCCTCTATAATTTTTAAAATTCTCTTTTGTCCCCTTTCTCTTATATAAAGGACTATACATGCTCTCCCGCCAAATCCCTGGGTACCTTCCCCTCTTTCATACATTGATTAAACAAAAGTACCAACCACTCCAACACTATATCCCCCCCCTGCTTTTAACATTTGTCATGATCCCATCAGTTCCAGCTGCTTTAACCCCCTTCATTCTACGTAATGCCTCACTACCTCCACCACACTTACATTCGCTCTTCTTCACTCCTAAAAGATGGTATACCTCCCTGACCAGTGCATGAAATTACCGGGCCCCCCTTTCTTCCTCAACATTTAAAAGTTCCTCAAAATATTCTCGCCATCTACCTAAAAACCTCCCTCTCCCCATCTACTAACTCCCCTACTCTGTTTTTAACTGACAAATCCATACTTTCCCTAGGCTTTCTTAACTTGTTTAACTCACTTTCCAAAATTTTTCTTAATTTCATTAAAATTTTTTTGACAGTGCCTCTCCCACTCTATCATCCCGCTCTCCTTTGCACTCTCTCACCACTCTCTTCACCTTTCTTTACTGTCCATATACTCTGCTTTTCTTATAACACTTCTGCTTTGTAAAACCTCCATAAGCTAACTTTTTCTCTTTTTTCACACCCTTTACTTCATCATTCCACCAATCACTCCTCTTTCCACCTGCCCCCACCCTCCTATAACCACAAACTTCTGCCCCACATTCTAATACTGCATTTTTTAAAACTATTCCAACCCTCTTCAACCCCCCCCACACTCATCTTGCACTAGCCCACCTTTCTGCCAACAGTCGCTTAATCTCCCCCCAACTTTCCTCCTCCCTTAGTTTATACACTTTCACCTCCCTCTTACTTGTTGTTGCCACCTTCCTCTTTTCCCATCTACCTCTTTTCTCTAAAATGTACTACAACTAAATAATGAACCGATATATCATTTGCCCCTCTATAAACATGTACATCCTGGAGCCTACCCATCAATTTTTTTTATCCCCAATCATAATCTAACAAACACTTCCTTTACGGCACATCATACCTTGTATTTTTTTATCCTTTTTCATAAAATATTATTACTTATTTACCAAATCTCTTTCTACACATAGCTAAATTTAAAAGGCCCCCATTTAATTTTACCCCGGGCCAAACCCCAAAATTTTACCTACCATTTCCCCCTCCAAACATTTTTTAAAACCCCCTTTTGCATTTAAATCCCCAAACCCCCATTACTCTCACACTTTAAAATTTAAAGCTCCCCACCCATTCACTCAACATTTCCCCCCAAAAACCCTCCTCCTCTACACTTCTTTTCCCCTTTCCAGGGGATACACGCTTACTATAACCCCCCTTTTCACATCCAATCTTTATTTTACCCCACATATTTCCTTGAATTAATACATTTTTTTGTCCCTTTTCCTGCCAAAGCTTACCTTCAAAATTATTGCTACTCCTTCTTTAACCTGATCTATTTGAAACTCCTGACCTAATCCCATTTTTTCCCTCCTTGAAACCTCCCCCCCTTCAGCTTCGTTTTACTTAAAGCCAGGACATCCAGCTTCTCTCTTCAAAACATCTACAATCATCTTTTCTATCATTTGCACAACATCCACGCACATTGAGAAATCCCACTTTGACAATTTTCTTCTTATTCTTTTTAGTAATCTTTACAGGAAAAGGGGTTACTAGCCCATTGTTCCCGGCATTTTAGTTGACTTTTACAACACGCATGGCTTACGGGGGAAAGATTCTTATTCCACTTCCCCATGGATATAAACGGAAAAGTAATAAGACCAAGAACTATTAAGATAAAATCAAAGAAAACTCAGATGAGTGTGTATAAATAAACGTGTACATGTATGTGTAGAGTGACCTAAGTGTAAGTAAATATATACATATTTTTTTTATCATTTTAAGGTTGTCCTTCTATTTAGTGAAGAGGAATTTATCATGTGAAGGTAGAAGAGTACAGGCAGGCTCTGCCTGTACTCTTTACAGCATTTCACTAATACAGCAGTTTTCAGTCATACCCAGTCTTCATTTATTCAGACCTCCTACAATATATATATTAATTACTCACTATAAGCTTAAGACAAAAATATTTTAAGGAAAGTAATGTGTGTACTGTATATTCATTTTTTAGGCCTAGATATATTGCACACCTAATATATGATAGTGTAAACATGTTATCAGGCTTTTACATATGTGCATTTGAAAGTGAAGAAAGGCTATAATTCACTTTACAGTAATTTTCTCTTTACAGCAGTAGCCTGGAACCTGATCTGCTGTATAAGCTGGGCCCTCCTGTACACTGCTTTACAGTTGTTCATTTAAAAATGACTGAATATAATATAATGGCTTAATATGTATTTCTGGTACAGTAATTTAAAGAGAAAACAGGAGGAAGGTGGGATATGGGTCATCCTAAGAAAGGTTGGAGGGAGGGGGGTAAAGGAAGCTTTGTATGCAAGGGGCTTGGACATCCAGCAGATGTATGTGAGCTTGTTAGATAGTAAGTGGAGGCAAGTGGTTTTCATGACCTTGATGTGCTGTTGGAGTGTGAGCAAGGTTACACTTACAAAGTGATTCAGGGAAATCAGTCGGCTGGACTTGAGTCCTGGAGGTAGAAAGTACATTGCCTGCACTCTGAAGGAGGGGTGGGGATATTTGTCATTTTGAGCTGTAGTATTGGCATCCCTCTGGCAAGAGAGTGGTGGAGTAAATGATGGTGAAAGTATTTTTTCTTTTTTGAGTCACCCTGCCTTGGTGGGAGATGGCCAGTTTGTTGAAAAAAAAAATGGTAATAATAATATATATTTCTTAGTGCTAATTTTATTTGCTTTGTTTCAGATTGTAATGGCACCCTACTTAAGAGACGGTGATTGTGTTCAGGTCATCAAGGAAAGTGAAGCTGCAGATATCATTGCTGCTGTTGCGGGCTTGATACGTATCTTTAAGAAAAAACTGTGGGAACTTCCTTCTTCCCATGCTATTCAGGCATACGGCATTTTGCTTGCATGTTTAGAACATCATTATCGTAATCAAAGTGTTCTTCATGGAGTGTCCAGAGTTAGAATGAAGGTGTGTTCCTCATGTCCTTGTTCATTTCAATGGAAGGAGTAAGACCTTATTTTGTATTTTTTGCCCCTCAGTTTTGGTCAGTATTGTTGCCATTTAAGCTGTCTACATAGTATAGTTTAGAGCTATTGTAATACAGGTGGTCCTTGCTTAACGAAGATTCAACTTACGGTATTTCAACTTGACGATGGTGCGATAATGATGCACATTTAGTACTGTGCAGTACTGTACATTTAGTGATAAGATAAACTTGTATTCATTTATTTACTTTCCAATACTGGTATTTAGTTAGTTACAGTAATTATTTGTGTATTTACTTATTCAGTAACAGTAGTTATTTATGTACTTATCATATCGTATTCATATTCGACATATTTTTAACTTAGTGGGTTCATTTGTGTATTTGAGAGCCAACTTAAAATTTGCCTGCAAAGTGAAATAGTCTCTCACTTTTGCATTTCTGTTGTCTTCTGGTAGTAAACTGTTACTTAGTCATGCTAAGACCATTTATTTCTCAGTTCTTAAGATTTAATCAACTTTCAAAGGCAGGGAGGAGTGGCAGGGAATCTTCATACCAGTGAAGGCCTCTTTATACAAGGATTTGGATCTGTCTTTCCACTTTGAACTGTTTTGCATAGAAATTTATTGCATCAAAGATATAGACAGAACAAGATTTTATTAAAATGGTATTTTGCCCAGTGTGGGCTTTTTCTTCTTTGTTATACTAATTTGTTTTAAAAAGTATTTGCTTAGTTGATTTATTTCCAAATATTACATGGTTCATCATTTTGCAGTTACTGAGTTTTTAGTTGTCATCCAAGTGTAGATATTTTTTAGCATCTCTCTCACTTACAAAAATAACCTGGGACGCTCTTGACTCATCCATTCAGTGTGTACACATCTGTATAAGTTTTGCAAATTTATGAAAGTTTTAGGGCAAGCCATTTCTTATTTCATTCCAGACACTGACCACATTATTTGAAGAAATATTTTCCAGTATATCTTTTGCTTGGCTTCTTATGTAATTTGAGATAATGACCTCTAGTTCTCCATATTTTTATCTGTCTGCAACCACAACCACAAAATAGGTTGTCCCTTACTCTTTAAGACATCCTTCAACCATCTAAGAAATGATTAACATGCATTTTTTAGGGTTTCACTGGGTAAATTTCACAAGTTGCTGATGGTGTCATAAACCCTTGGGAGTGGGATGATATCCTTTCCCTTGTAGCTCTCTCTGTCACAGGTCAGAGGTTCTCACTGGGGTTTAAGTCTGGGAAATATCCTTTCCAGTCATCGAATAAGGGTACATTACTGAATATCAGATTTTAAGGTGGGGTTAGGAGCACTGTCATACATAAAACTTTGCACCACACTGCTAGAAAGTTTGAGTAAATGATAACCGAGCAATTTTAGGTACATTATTATAGCTAACTTTAGTGGGGACATTTTTTGAGGCTTCCCGGGATGTTGCTTTTGGTATGGGCATGTTATTAACACTATCTTCAAATAACTGATGCAACCAGATCCTCACTGGATGCTCACACACATCGGTGGCTTCTACTGTTTCCTTCGAATGATGGTCTGTCTTAAGTAACCCGATGATCTTTGCAGTTGTCTCTGTAGTCAGCAACTTACTCTTGCCCATGTAATTTGTCAGTAGCAAAATATGTCTGAAAAACTCGGCTCTCAAGACCAAATGGTGCAGGGGGATCATGGACAAAAGAAAGTCCCATTTTGAGTTGCAAGGCCAGTATAACTTTTTGCCTCACTGACAAACCTACCAGAATAGGATATTGAATTGTGCTGGGTGCCTTTCACTTAGTGTATTTTAATGAGAAGCACGGTATATATAGTATGTGGTTTAAGTATTTCAATTTCCAGTAACAATTCTTTTACAGATCTTTGAAATGATATTTGAAATGAGAGCCAGTTCTAAGTACCAACTAGGGTTTCCAAGGAACTTCGATAAAAGTGTTCAAGAAGAAGAAGAAGATTCAGTAACATCACTGCTTCCTCCATTCTCTCCATACATAGTTGTAGATCATAAACATGGACAACGGCTTTATGAGGCTCAGAAAGAAAGAGAGCAACAGCAATTTGATATGTATTCACCAACAGGTGAGATGATTTTTTGTTTACTAAATAGCATTGCATACAACATTTAAAATTTTGGGCAGGGCATATTAATTCGAGCATTATAGAATTGTAAAAACTGAATACATAATAGTTATGTATCAGTACATTAATAGCCTGCATTTATTAGAGTTAGGGTGTGTGTGTAGAAGAGAGGGGAGACTACTTTCCGGTAAGAAGGTCTTAGACAGGGATGTGTAATGTCACCATGGTTGTTTAATATATTTATAGATGGGGCTGTAAAAGAAGTAAATGCTAGGGTGTTCGGGAGAGGGGTGGGATTAAATTATGGGGAATTAAATACAAAACGGGAAGTGACACAGTTACTTTTTGCTGATGATAATGTGCTTATGGGAGATTCTAAAGAAAAATAGCAGAGGTTAGTGGAAGAATTTGGGAATGAGTGTAAAGGTAGAAAGCTGAAAGTGAACATAGAAAAGAGTAAGGTGATGAGAGTATCAAATGATTTAGATAAAGAAAAATTGGATATCAAATTGGGGAGGAGGAGTATGGAAGAAGTGAATGTTTTCAGATATTTGGGAGCTGACGTGTCAGCGGATGGATTTGTGAAGGATGAGGTTAATCATAGAATTGATGAAGGAAAAAAGGTGAGTGGTGTATTGAGGTATATGTGGAGGCAAAAAAAGTTATCTATGGAGGCAAAGAAGGGAATGTATGAAAGTATAGTAGTACCAACACTTATATGGGTGTGAAGCTTGGGTTGTAAATGCTGCAGCAAGGAGGCGGTTGGAGGCAGTGGAGATGTCCTGTCTAAGAGCAGTGTGTGGTGTAAATATTATGCAGAAAATTCGGAGTGTGGAAATTAGAAGGTGTGGAGTTAATAAAAGTATTAGTCAGTGGGCTGGAGAGGGTTTGTTGAGATGGTTTGGTCATTTAGAGAGAATGGATCAAAGTAGAATGACATGGAGAGCATATAAATCTGTGGGGGAAGTAAGGCGGGTAGGGGTCGTCCTCGAAAAGGTTGGAGGGAGGGGGTAAAGGAGGTGTTGTGGGCGAGGGGTTTGGACTTCCAGCAAGCATGCGTGAGCGTGTTAGATAGGAGTGAATGGAGACAAATGGTATTTGGGACCTGACGATCTGTTGGAGTGTGAGCAGTGTAATATTTAGCAAAGGGATTCAGGGAAACCGGTTATTTTATATAACCAGACTTGAGTCCTGGAAATGGGAAGTAAAATGCCTGCACTATAAAGGAGGGGTTTGGGATATTGGCAGTTTGGAGAGATATATTGTGTATTTTTATACGTATATACTTCTAAGCTGTTGTATTCTGGGCACCTCTGCAAAAACAGTGATTATGTGTAGTGAGGTGAAAGTGTTGAATGATGATGAAAGTATTTTCTTTTTGGGGATTTTCTTTCTCTTTGGGTCACCCTGCCTCGGTGGGAGACGGCCGACTTGTTGAAAAAGAAAAAAAAAAATTATTAGAGGTAAATTAATGATGATGATTTGGTTCAACTTGGACAACTGACAATGTGATTTGTCAGTGGCTCAAGTCAGTCTGAAATATCATCATTACTTTCTCTCTCTTTAGTGCTGGTTTTTTGTGTATTTTTCCAGCCATTGTATTGTTGCTTATTATTTTATATGTATGTACTGGTTTTGGAGGGGTTTGGGGTATTGGCAGTTTGGAGGAACTTCTAAACTGTCATATCTGAGTGCCTCTGCAAAGACAGTGATTATGTATGAGTGATGGTGACAGTGGAACAGAATTCTTCCTCCATAAGCCATGCGTGTCATAAGAGGCGACTAAAATGACAGGAGCAAGGGGCTAGTAACCCATTTCCCTGTATATTACTAAATGTGAAAGGAGAAACTTTCATTTTTCCTTTTGGGTCACCCTGCCTTGGTGGGATACAGCTGGTGCATTGACAGAAGAAGAAAGTATTTTTCTTTCTTTTTGGGTCACCCTGCCTCGGTGGGAAATGGCTGATGTGTTAAAAGAAAAATTATACATTATTGACCAGAGGTCTCTCTGGATCCAAAAATCAGTTGATATAGACCTGCTCATAATTTAACCCTGTGGAAAAATCTCGTGAACCCATCATCATTAATTTCTGTCAGTATTTCCATTGAATGTCAAGCTATAATAATGCAGTAAAGAAATGAGGTCACCGTCCAATATGTGTCCAACTGGCAAGTCTAATGCGCAGTCACGAGTGGGTTGACATTATTTATACAATTATATAATAATGCAATAGTCTGCATAACAGTAACTCTTCTATTTTTTTTTGTGTGAATAAAAATTCAAAATGGAAAGCAAGAGTAATATAAGAGGGTCCTGGAGATGTGACTAATGAACAGAGAAAATGTTATTTTAATGCCAGGAATGTCTGCATTGTTTATTCTGGATCCTATTTTGAAATTGGCATCTTTTGTGTGAAATTGGCCAAATTGCAATTTTTGACCACTTTGTTGGGTAGTTGAAATCAGTAAATGGGTGTTTTCTCATACTCACTTGATAGAACAGACGGAGTTCTAGAGAAATAGCTTTGGGTTTGGTCAACTGAAACAATGGAATTGGCCGAAAATAGGGCTCAAAGTGGGCAAAATTGCCGATGCATATGTATCACCGAGACCGCTAACTTCACGAGAACATAATTCCGTACGTTTTCCATCAAATTTCATACTTTTGGTGTCATTACCACCAGGAAAAGATCCTCTATCATTTCATAAGAAAAAATATTTTTTTTTTTTAACCCTTAAACTGTCCAAACAGATCTACGTTCACATGCGTAGTGCTCCAAAAGTAGATCTATGTTTTTTAACATATTTTCAAAAGTAACAAAAAAAAAATGTAGATCAAAGTTTTTTTTACACGTTTTCAAATGTAAAAAAAGGAAAAGAAGCTCTACGTTTTTTTACATACTTTCAAATGTTGAAAAAACGTGGATCTACATTTGGACAGTTTAAGGGTTAAATTCAAGTGAGTTCAGGATCAGGAGTCTTGACAGTGAAAGGGTTATTAAAGTGCAAGCATTGTACTTCTTATTTCCAGGACTCAAGTCTGGCTAACTGGTTTCCCTGAATCCCTTCACTAAATATTACACTGCTCACACTCCAACAGCTCGTCAGGTCCCAAAAACCAGTCTCCATTCACTCATATCTAATGCGCTCACGCTCGCTTGCTGGAAGTCCAAGCCCCTTGCCCACAAAACCTCCTTACCCCCTCCCTCCAACATTTTTGAGGATCGACCCCCTACTCTGCCTTCCTTTCCCTCCAGATTTATACACTCTCCAAGTCATTCTCCCCTCAAGGAAGGTTCCTTGATACTGCTGAGGGGCTCTTGATCTTGGGAATTGGATCTGTGCTCCAGTTCCTTCAATTAAGCCTGAATACCTTCCACATCCCCCACCACAGGCACTGTATAATCCTATGGGTTTAGTGCTTCCCCCTTGATTATAATACGCAATAATAATAATAATCCAAGTCATTGTGCTTTGTTCCATTCTCTCTAAATGACCAAACCACCTCAACAACCCCTCTTCAGCCCTCTGACTAATACTTTCAGTAACTCCACAGCTCCCTTTAATTTCCACACTATGAATTCTCTGCATAATATTTACACCACACATTGCCCTTAGACACGACATCTCCACTGCCTCCAGCCGCTTCCTCGCTGCAGCATTTACAACTCATGCTTCACACTCATAGAAGAGTGTTGGTACCACTATACTCTCATACATTCCCTTCTTTGCCTCCATGGATAACGTTTTTTGTCTCCACAGATACCTCAACGCACCACTCGCCTTTTTTCCTTCATCAGTTCTTTGGTTAACCTCATCCTTCATAAACCCATCCACTGACAAGCCAACTCCCAAATATCTGAAAACATTCACTTCTTCCATACTCCTTCCCTCCAATATGATGCCCAATTTTTCTTTACCTAAATTGTTTGATACCCTCATCAACTTACTCTTATGTATGTTTACTTTCAACTTTCTACCTTTACACACCCTCCCAAACTCATCCACTAACTTTTGCAACTTTTCTTTAGACTCTCCCATAAGCACAGTATCATCAGCAAAAAGCAAGTGTGTCAACTCCCATTTTGTAATGGATTCCCCATAATTTAATCCCACCCTTCTCCCCAACACCCTAGCATTTACTTCTTTTACAACCCCATCTATAAATATATTATACTTGAAAAATTACTAACACCTTCATGTTGTAGGTGGCAGGAACGATGTGACTAAAGAGGAAGAGGATGCATTTCGGAAGGAGAATGTAGCAGTACCAGCAGGGTCACCATCAGCATCACAAGTTGAGGTTACTCATCTCTCATTAACCCAGGCAGCCATGACTGTCATAGTAGCAATGAAAAAGGAAAAAGGTATGTTCCACTTTATGAACACTCAGCATTCCTCAGGCTGAGTGTTATATTTCTCATTTTTTTTTTTTAACAAGTTGGCCATCTTCCACTGAGGCAGGGTGACCCAAAAAGAAAGAAAATCCCCAAAAAGAAAATACTTTCATCATCATTCAACACTTTAACCTCACTTATACATAATCACTGTTTTTGCAGAGGTGCCCAGAACACAACAGTTTAGAAGCATATACGTATTAAGATACACGAACATATTCCTCCAAACTGCCAATATTCTAAACCCCTCCTTTAAAGTGCAGGCATTGTACTTCCCATTTCCAGTACTCAAGTCCGGCTATATGAAAATAACCGATTTCCCTGAATCCCTTCAGTAAATATTACCCTGCTCATACTCCAACAGCTCGTCAGGTTCCAAATACCACTTGTCTCCATTCACTCCTATCTAACATGCTCACACATGCTTACTGGAAGTCCAAGCCCCTCGCCCACAAAACCTCCTTTACCCCCTCCCTCCAACCTTTTCAAGGATGACCCCTACCCCACCTTCTTTCCCCTACAGATTTATACTCTCTCCATGTCATTCTACTTTGATCCATTCTCTCTAAATGACCAAACCACCTCAACAACCCCTCTTCAGCCCTCTGACTATTACTTTTATTAACTCCACACCTTCTCCTAATTTCCACACTCCGAATTCTCTGCATAATATTTACACCACACATTGCTTTTAGACAGGACATCTCCACTGCCTCCGTGCTGCAGCATTTACAACCCAAGCTTCATACCCATATAAGAGTGTTGGTACCACTATACTTTCATACATTCCTTTCTTTGCCTCTATAGATAATGTTTTTTTTGTCTCCTCATATACCTCAGTGCACCACTCGCCTTTTTTCCTTCATCAATTCTGTAGTTAACCTCATCCTTCATACATCCATCCACTGACACATCAACTCCCAAATATCTGAAAACATTCCCTTCTTCCATACTCCTCCTCTCCAATTTGATATCCAATTTTTCTTTATCTAAATCATTTGATACCCTCATCACCTTACTCTTTTCTATGTTCACTTTCAACTTTCTACCTGTCTGTATTTATTTGAACAAGAAGTTGGTTACATAAGCTGACAAGTAACACTTTCAAAAACTCCTTTAGTTGTAAAAGTAATTTTTATATCAAATAGTGCTTAATGATGCCCCACTGTGTGTGAAACATGTATAAAAGGCTTTCCACTTCAAAAAAGGTCGTTTGAAAAATATAGCATTATTTCAATTGAAGGAACTTTCAGCTTTTATATTTGCTACGTACTGCCTGTTAACATCATGTTATACTTCATGTCAGTGACATTCTCCAGAGTAGCAGTGTCCTAAAACAGTAAAAATTAGATGGAAGTTTTGCATTGATTCATAACCTACAGCAACTACATCGAACTGACCCTTGTTTAATGAAAATTCACAAAATGCAATTCTGAATAGCGACCTAAAGAAATCCTCCGAATTCCTTCACTTAACTGCTAAATTGTTAACCCTCTAACTGTGTCTGATGTACTAGTACGCAGGTGCTGGTACTGTGTCTGGACACATACTAGTACACAGGTGGTGGTATTGTGTCCGATGTACTATTTTTTTTTTTTGTACCCACAAATCTGCCACCTGCCAATATTTTTTGCCTCAGGACAATTCTGCAGGTTTTCTTTCATCTGTTCATGCATTTGAAAAAATGCAAGGCCAACAGGGTCCATACACTGTATCGTGGTTAACAACTCGGGTGATGACTATGTTTGATGTAATAGAATGCCTCATTAGCAAAAGTAAGCAAAGGAACCAGGAGCTGTTGTTCCACCACCAGTTTCCCTACCAATGAACAGGGTGTGTTAGTAGTTTAAAGATGACTATATTCAGTATAAGATATTAGGTATTACATGGATAACAAAGGAATGTCATACTTTAAAAACCAATTAAGTATATAATCCCAGGGATCACCAGGCAGTAAAAGTGAAAAATTGTCACTTCATTTCCATATGTTTGAGAATATTTACCTAAATAATTTAATATTATAAGTATTCAATTTACATAGCCTTAGAAGACCAAAATAGTACATAGAAAAAACAGAATAACTGTTATAAAGTATACATATATATATTTTTTTAACATGTCGGCCGTTTCCCAGTGAGGCAGGGTGACCCAAAAAGAAAGAAAAAAAACCCAAAAAGAAGGAAAAAAACTTTGATCATCATTCAACACTTTCATCATCATTCACACATAATCAGTCTTTGCAGAGGTGCCCAGATACAACAGTTTAGATATCACTCCAAACAGCCAAGTGCTGGCATTGTTCTTCCCACCACCAGGACTCGAGTCAGGCTAACTGCTTTCCCTGAATGCCTTCACAAAATATTACCCTGCTCACACTCCAACAGCTCGTCAAGCCCCCAAAAATCATTCATCTCCATTCACTCCTATGTAATACACTCACACATGCCTGCTGTATGTCCAAGCCCCTTCACACAACCTCTTTTAACCTTTCTCTCCATCCTTTTTTAGGATGACCACTACCCATCCTACCCTCCACTACAGATTTATACATATTAATAAATTTATTACAATAAAGGAATATAATAAAATTATCATTTCCCTTGCATTTTCAATAATTAAAATATCAGTATAAGGAAGGGTGGGTGGGTAAGATGCTCATGGGCTGTTAGCCCATAACCCTCGGCAACAATAGCAACAAACTCTCACACACATCCTAAAACAAACAATGAACAAGTGTACCAGCTAAACTGATGCCCAGATATATATGAAGTAGGTATTGTTTACACATTACATCCAGGTTCCTTTTTTTTTAGCCTTTATTATGCTAAGAAAGGTAAACAGAGGGTATTTAAACCTTTATTATGCTGAGAAAGATGAACAGAGGGTATGTAAATGGTGGGAAGGCCTCTCACATGGACAGGTACAGTTCGTGTCTGCCCTCTCAGTTTGTATAGAAACATTGTCTCCAGTAAGCTCACATTTGAGCACAGTAAGTTTATTTAGGCACAGTTACATAGGTACAATTATCATACATAGCGCAAATTATCTAGGATAACCCAAAAATGTTAGACAAAGTGACTTATTTACATGAAAACACTGCATGTACTGACTAGTATGCAGGAATCAACTAATTTAATCACAAACACTGATCTGAGAGTCATATAGTACATGTATGTATGAACCAGTGAGAGATGGGAGGGGGAGGCAGGGGAGGAAGCTAGGTGACCCCACAAAGACAATGGACTGACCCACAGTTAGGCTGCCCATGAGCCCATTAGACAGAGAGGAAAAATCCTGCTGTCCAGCTCATGGCTCCAAATATTTTCCCAAAAGTGACACTGTGTTAATCAAATTTTATGCTGCAATTTTTCAGTAGTGTAATGGACAAAACTTGGAAATCCATGCATTTGTAATTTGTAATACATTATCAGATGAAGTATGTGTGGATTTTGTAAAATAACTGTACTGTTTATGGTTTTTGTGAAGCACCTTACAAAGACCATTTCAGACCACTGTTAAAGCTGATTCTGTATTAAAAATACATTAACTATATGGTAAGGTAATAAAATACCTAAAAAATAGCAATAACTATTAGAATAATTTTATTATTGGAACATGAATTACCCTATAATAAAATCTATTCCATACACTATAGTGTAATAATACTGTACAGTACTTCTGTAGCCAAAAAATTATTAAATACATAAACAGTAAAAAATTATAATGCCTGGCTTACAAATTAAATTTTTTTTTTTTATTTACAGACTGGGAAGTTCTTCGTATGATTCTTGAGCGAGTTCCTCAAGTGCTTCTGAACAAGGCTCTCATTCTTTCCCGGGATGGCAATGACATCGACTATTTTGCAGCTGCACTTTGTGCTTTAGTTAGTACTACCTGGTTAAAGTATAGTATAGTATAGTTTTTGTTGAAAAAATAGCATAGTTCTTGTTGAATATATCAAAATCTGCTTTTAAATAAGACAAGCTTCTCATTAAAAATAAAGGGATGGTGCTTTTCTCTTGCTGAGTTTTTAGTTACCCACTACAACAAAGTTTACTTCAATTCCTATTTTTATTCATTCATTTGCTTCAGTTTAATTTTCCTACATTTTTCTTCCTGTCTTATGTATTCCTGCTGCTTTTCTTCTATTTTCTCATTAGCATAAATTTGATGAGATAATCTCTAAGCTTTTTCATAACGTTTCTCAATACTAGCAAGTAATGAGTCTCGTGTAAGCAATAGCTAAACCCATGTTAGAGATATCTAAGGTGCTTGTTAACAGTCTTTTATGCAGTGAAAATATTTGGGGGAGATCCTGCTGTACATACAACCACTCCTTGTAGAAAGTACTGGAGGGAACATAATTCCAAAGATAAAATTGCAAAAAGTAGCCAGATACAATATAAAGGCATACAAGATTTTTTTTTTTTTTTTCAACAAGTTGGCTGTTTCCCACCTAGGCAGGGTGACCCAAAAAGAAAGAAAATCCCCAAAACGAAAATAATTTCATCATCATTCAACACTTTCACCTCACTCATATTTCAGAGCTTTAAAGGTATGTCACTGCTATATGCCGTTACTTAAAAAAGTGGACAGTCATATTTCATGTAGTGTACTGAAAACTGTGCTACCATCATTCAACACTTTCACCATCCACATATAGTCACTGTCTTTACAAAGGCACTCACATATGACAGTTTAGATATCACTTCAAACAGCCAATATCCCAACCCCCTTGTTTAAAGTGCAGGCACTGTACTGCCCGCCACCAGGACTCAAGTCTGGCTAACCAATTTCATTGAATCCCTTCACAAAATATTACTCTGCTCACACTCCAACACCTCATCAGGTCCCAAAAACCACTTGTCTCCATTCACTCATGTCTAACACACTCACATACAGTGGAACCTCGGTATTCGAACAGCTCCGTACTAGAACAATTCAGTATTCGAACGCTTTGTTCGGTAAACAAATTGCTTGGTAGTTGACCTCTTGCTTGGCACTCTACCAAACAAACACAACCTGTCAGAACTTTGCTGTAAACTGTTTTGTTTCTTAGCATTTTTTTTTTTTATATTATTTGAGTATATAAGTCACCATGGGGCCTAAGAGGATTAGTGATAACAGCCAACCAAAAAGGAAATTGATTCGGAAAAATTCGTTCTCTACTCGAACAGATCGGCACTTGAACAGCCTTCTGGAACCAATTAAGTTCAAGTGCCGAGGTTCCACCGTATGAGAAAAATAGGGCTGCCATCTTCAGACCTCCAAGAGGGCCATAATTAGTTTTTAATATTTTAATTCTTCAAAATATAATAGCTTTTGAACCTTAGTGGATTATTTTAGAATCATTTGTTTGTTTACTGAGGTAGTTTTTATTGTTGACACATCATTTTTTTTCTATTGAAGCAAGTGGTGATTGCTTTACTTATATGATAAAGTGTGCATCTGTCATCTAGAGCTTTGTAGAATGCTCTTGTTTCTTCATATATCTTCAGATATTATGCCTCTGTAAGATAGTAAATAAGGCCAGTTTGTCAAGAAAAGGCCTTTATAACATGGAGTTACTTTGTGGCATCAAGATTTGACCAACCTGTGGGTGCAAGAACCCAACTTCTTTTTTCCTTTCTGACTAAAGTGAAATTTCCAATAATATAAAAATTATCCTGTGACTTACAGCCTGTGACCTGGAATGAATTATGAACATGGTCTGCATTGCATCTGTTACATTTAAAACTGTTGTGATTATATTGTGATTATAATATTTATAGTAGCAGTCAGTTAGTCACAAAAGCAATAAATTGTTATAGATACTGTAGTACGAAATTGCTTTGTTGAAAATTGGTAATGATAACAGTGAATTTCTTTCTTTCAACATACTGGCTGTATCCCACCGAGGTGGGGTGGCCCAAAACAAAAAACGAAAGTTTCTTCTTTTACATTTAGTAATACAGTGGTACCTTGACTTACGAGTTTAATTGTTTCCGTGACCAAGCTCATAACTCAGTTTGCTCGTGTATTAAATCAATTTTCCTCATTGAAATTAATTGAAATGCCATTAATCCGTTCCAGCCCCCCAGAAAAACCTCCCCAGGGGCAGGAAAAAATACTTCAATATAATGCTAATATCAATGCTTATTTATCTATCAGAATTGATCTAATATGACATAATAACACTATAAGTAACATAGAAACATGATATATACTCTAGAATGAATAAAATAGGCCATAATATGACGAGTGTCGAGGACCAGTCCAAGCATATAAAATTAATACTGCTCCTTCCTATAACGTGTTCTTTGGTCCTGGGTAAGAGAAAATGGAGTTTTTTAGAGGCTAACTGCACTAGATCACTAGTGCATTTACTGTACTTATAATAAATGGTGATCATGAATGTCATAATTATTGGAATCATATTAATGCACTAGATCACTAGTGCAGTGATATATGAATATCTCAGAAGTAAGTTATTGACTTATTTCATGAAGTCCACCATTTATTATTGAAGTACAGTAAATGCAATAATATTGACAGGAATCATAAAAAAATTCTTGTTCTACAGTTGGTTTGTGGAATATTGGAAATATTCCAAATATTTTGGGATTTGTGTGGGAGTAAAGGGCAAGATATTTTGGAAATGTCAAAAACTTAGCAACTTTACTTTTTTGTGGAATAACTAAAGATGATTACATGATTACCTTCAGTGAGAACATCGCTCTGGCATTGTTTTATAAGTACCATGTCCCAAAACCACCTTTTGTTGTGCCATTTAGGCTGGGGTTCTTGCCAAATCTCATTTTCAGTAAATATTTTTGCTCGTAACTCAGATTTGGCTCGCAACTCAAAGCAAAAAATAGACTTAGTGACAGCTTGTAACTTGGAAAACTCGTAAGTTGGGGCACTCCTAAGTCAAGGTACCACTGTATATACAGGAGAAGGGGTTACTAGCCCCTTGCTCCTGGCATTTTAGTCGCCTCTTACGACATGCATGGCTTACGGAGATAAGAGGAAATAAACAAGAACAAGAACTAGTAAGAAAATAGAAGAAAACCCAGAGGGGTGTGTATATATATGCTTGTACATGCATGTGTCGTGTGATCTAAGTATAAGTAGAAGTAGCAAGATGTACCTGAAATCTTGCATGTTTACGAGGCAGAAGAAAGACACCAGCAGTCCTACCATCATGTAAAACAATTACAGGCTTTCGTTTTACATTCACTTGGCAGGACAGTAATACCTCCCTGGGTGGTTGCTGTCTACCAGCCTACTACCTAGAACAGCAAATTTATGACTAATTATTTATGTTAACTGAGCTGAGTAACTAAAGGTTCCTAGTACAGTAGGGCCCCACTTATATGACAGGTTAGGTTCCAGGCTACTGCCAGAAAGCAGACATCACCGGAAAGCAGAACACCATTTTTTCCACTTATAAATGTCAGATAATAAATTTACACTAACATATATTAAGTTAGCAATAGAACAAGGCATTAAAAAACAATAAAAAGTAAAATACACACACAGTACACTCATTACTTACCTCAAAATATTTGTAGTCTTAATTAATGTAGGGTGAGAAGTAAGTAGTGTTTATTGTAAGAAGTTAGGTGTGGTAGGTTATGGCAGCCAGCCAGGCCAAACTATCCAACCCCACCCACACGTTATATACTTTGACATTTAACCCTTTGACTGTTTTCGACGTATAAATACGTCTTACGAGCCAATGTTTCTGACGTATATATACTCAATAATTCTAGCGGCTTCAAATCAAGCGGGAGAAAGCTGGTAGGCCCACATGTGAGAGAATGGGTCTGTGTGGTCAGTGTGCACCACATAAAAAAAATCCTGCAGCACACATTGCGTAATGAGAAAAAAAAAACTGATCGTTTTTTTGGAATAAAACGCCGACTTTGAGGTGTTTTTTTCGTATAGTATTTATCATTGTATTTGCGTTTTCATGGTCTTAGGTGATAAAATGGAAAACATATTACAGAAATAGAGATGATATTCATTACTTTGACGATGAAAACGACCTTGAAACTGAGCTCAAAGTAGCGGAAATGTTCGATTTTTACCAATGTTCAGGAGTAAATAAATCACACCACACGTCCAATACACGTCAACTGGGGAGTCTAATATTCTTTCACTAGTGCACGGATATTATTTATACCATTTTTACAATAATGCATTAGTCTGCATAACAGTAAATTTTGTATTTTTTTGTATGAATAAAAAATAAAAATAGAAAGCAATAATAATATAAGAGGGGCCTAGAGATGTGACTAATGAACAGAGCATATGTTATTTTAGTGCCACGAATGTCTACCTTGTTTATTCTCAACCCTATTTTGAAATTGGCATCTTTTTTAGTTTGAGTGAAATTGGCCAAATTGCCAATTTCTGACCACCATATTGGGTAGTCCAAATTAGTAAATGGGAGTTTCTTGTACTCAGCTAATAGATAAAATGGAGTTCTAAAGAAATAGCTATGAGTTTGGTCAACTGGAACAATGGAATTGGCTGAAAATAGGGCTCAAAGTCGGCGAAATCGCCGATACGCATATGTCGCCGAGACCGCTAACTTCGCGGGAGCATAATTCCATGAGTTTTCGACCAAATTTCGAACTTTTGGTGTCATTACCATCGGGAAAAGATTCTCTATCATTTCATAAGAAAAAATAATTTGTTTTTTTTTTCAAAAATTGAGCAACATAGAATGACAGTTTCAGAGAGGGGCCTGAAACAGTCAAAGGGTTAAAGAGCCCTAGAGCGATAAAATGCATTTAGTGTACACTCACTACTTACCTTAAAATATTTTTAGTCTTAATGGTCTCAATATAGGGTGCAAGGTGAATAGTAGGGTTGGTAGGTATCGTAACCCCATCT